GTTATACGTTTATGTAGGTTTACTGCGAGTTCTTCTTTAGATGACTAAAAAATTTGCGGGTTATTTATTTCTGAGTTTCTGTCTTGATTATAGAATAAAATAAAAACAGGCTTCATAATATCGCTAAAACAACTAACATAAAAATTAAAAAAACTCAAACAAAAAAAATTAATTTAATGAATTAATAAAATGAATAACAAACACTATCACTAAATTAACATTTTTAATACCCTCTAAAAATTGCGAGATTCTAATCTTAAAACATTAAGTGAAATTAATTTGACAAGCCGCAAAAAAATAAAAAGCGAAACTATAAATAACTTATGAGTGAATCAGAAAGTCATGGTTATTCATAATAATAAAGTCTGGTGTAGTATAGATAATTATAAACAATATATACATACATTCATATGTACATACATTCTACATAATATGCTTATTATTTTAAAATTCAGAGTTTCAGACATTTTCATTTAAATTTTTTTTTTGTTTTTTCCTTTGTATTTCTATTTTACTATCACTGTTGTGCATCATTTTCAAAAAAAATTATAATATGTAAGTAAACCTGTTTCATTATGTTTTCTTTGTTTTTTCATTTCTTCTAATTTTTATTTTTAAAATTTTCAAAATTTTGGTTGTGAGAAGAATATTAACAAAAATATTCTAAAATTTGAGAAACCTTAAAGGTCAATGTTCCTTATGGCTCTGTCTTATACATACATAAATATATCTGAAAGGATATAAGCAGGCAAATACAAAGAATATAATATAACTGACACACACACAGATGTAAATAAACAACAAAACAGAAAAGAATTATTATTTGATTGAATATATGTAATATAACTATAAGGTGTATGTATATAATTATAATTATCTATATGTATACTTATATTACATGTTACCATTATTTTTTAAACCTTACAAAATACAAACAGTTCTTATAATATTCTTGCAATATATAAATTGGCGTATAATTTTGTTTTATATTCAATACACATATACATATATTAATTTAAATAGAATTGTATGTTATACATATAATTTGTTGCATGTATGTATTGCATTTATATTTTGTTTCATCCACTTATATAATTTGAAAGAAATAAGGATTGAGATTATTTCTTTATGCATTCTAATTTTCTAAAATGTACTTAATGTTCAAATTTTTCAAATAGATACGAGTATGTTAATAATGTATTACACATATATATATATAACTGAAATTTGTAATTACGTCTAGTTGTACCACTTGTATAAAATTATTTTAAATTTTAAATATATCAAGCCTGGGTATAATGCTATTCTGTCAACCTTTCAAAGAAAATTATGAGTCTCACATGAAAATGATTTAAGGTGCGTACTCTAAAAGCTGTGTATATACAGTTTTGTTTACAGATATAGAAATTTAAGTTTTTTTTTTTTTTTTTTTCCTTCTTCACTCCTAGGAGTGAGTATAGGGCTAGTGCATGATATCTATGATGCTCTAGTTTCTATAGTCATAGAGAGTTAGCTAGGTAGGTGACTAGTCTACCGTAGTTTTTATTTATATTGTATATAACAAACTCATTGTACTTTTATCAAGAAACTTGCATCAAAACAAAATACCATAAAATATATAATGGATATATATCCGTGTAATGGCTAAGTAAATGATACACGTTCCATTTTATCAAGTAAGTAAGGAAACAATAAGAGTAGTGGTATTTCATCATTTTATCAGCTATGTCAAGAAAAGAATAAGGGAATCTGTTTAAGCATAATTTCTGCTATAGCTGTATTTTGCAGAAATTTGTTATTTTAATTAATTTCTTTTACAAAATTTTTATTTTTTTTTTTGTTTACATTCTTTTAAAGCTACAATGTGCTTGAAAATGTTGTGTCAGTTTGTCATAATATTTGTTTACATGTTATATTTAATTTTATTTAACAGTATACATAATTTATAATTGACGCTTGCATATTAAGACAATCACATTTATTTAGTTGCATATATGTACATATTTGATCCCACATAATATTTTAATATTAGATATTGTTATACATATATTATTATACACCTATTCAAACGCATTGCAAAACATTGTAATGATACTTAAGTTGTTATGCTTATATAAATAAATGAATAAATATAAAATCACCCATAAGTATGCAACAACAACAGGTTGCGTGTTATTATAAATAATTTTCTGTAAATAAGTCATAATTATTTCGTAAATTATGTTAGAAAAAATTTGTAAGAAATGCTATAACACTTTTGAATTAAGATCTTTTAAGAGTTTTTCTATAAAAATCAAATTCTTTATTCTATCCTATCAAAAAAAAAACACTGTGTAAAATATTTATAATTAAAATTACATCTTCGTGTTCGTCGAACATTCAAAAAATCTAATAAAATCATAGAATCCCTTCATTGAGCGCATATTCAACCATATTCTGCTATAGTCGATCCCATCACTTAACGTGATGGTTTGTTATTCAAAAATCTAGTAATTTCCTTTCAATAAAACGAATTTTAAAATTAAAAATTGTATACTGTAAATCCATATACGTTTCAATAATATTCTATCATCTCAAATGATGCGACTAACAGAATATGTGTGATTATACATGTCGTTCTAATACATATTTATAATATACGTTAATAATACAAACCTATGTATAATATACTGAATGGATTTTACTATATTATGTATATAATAAGGAATTATATAAATTGATAATAAAATGTTAATGAACGTAGATTTTCATTGCCACATTTGATTATTTTTAAATATCAGTATTAAATATTTTAGCAACGCATATTGTATAATTGATAATGAAAACGTGTTAAAAACAAAATGTTTTTAATTAATAAATTTTGACTGGTATAGATTATAAAAATATGTTTTAAATATTAATAATGAAATTTAAAAAAAAAATAACTACTTATATTATTTTAAATATTTTAAATATAAATACAAATATTCGTCTCTTTAATTAATTATACATAAAGAAACGTACATTTATAACAGAATCAGATACTATGATAAAGTTGGGACAAACCAATGGTTTGAATTGTGACACTTTTCTCTTCAAAAAGTTAAAATACTACTTTTGAATACAGTCTGTGTATACCTACTACACTATTAAAATATTATTTTCATTCATATACGAAATTATTTCTATGATTGCATACACTCAGGATGAACGATTTATGCAGTCTATGAAATAAAGCAAAAATTACTTTAAACAGGGGTTAACATAATGCTCGATTTTAAGGGTTAATTGCGTGAGTTAAGAAAAATAATTATGTTTTTTAATGTCATGGAATTTATTGTTAGCTTTTTGCGTTTATAGAGATTTGAAAAAGCTTGCTATTCCGGAAATATAAGGCGTCAAAAATTCAAATTTTACAAATTTCACGAGGCGATAACTTGAGAGGAGGTGCAGATGAAAAAAAATTTTCTTCCAACGAAATGAGCTTGTTATTAGTGCCTAAATGTGATAACCCATAACGTGGGGTCTAGAAGAAAATCAATATCAAAAAATTTGAAAAAAACGGATTTTACATAACGGTAAATTTGAACGGCAATTTTGTTTTTTTAAAGTTTAACTATAGTATGCCGCGATAGGAAAAGCAAGGCCGTGCCTTTCTGCGGGGGACATAGCTAAAAATTTTCTTCTACGGAAATAAGTTTGTAGTAAAGACCTATGTAGGGTGTAGAAGTTTTGTAAACATGTCCACGGACAGACGTACAGAGTGATACAAAAAAGCACTTATTTTCAAAAATTTTTTGGAAAAGTGCTAAAAACAGAATATTTAAATTATAAAAATCTTTTCCTATAAAAAATTATCAATGATATAATATTAAAATATTATTTAAATTCATTATAAATTTATAATTCTTATTAATAAAAATTCAATCAAAATTTACAAAATATAGCTATAATATACATACATACATATGTACATACAATCAACAAGTAGGCACCGTCAAATAAATTTTATATAAGAAAATTGAAAAGAAAAAAAAATAAAATTTACTATTTGCAACGTGTACACCATAATATTATGTTTGTACACTTGTGAATGTATGTATATGTTAATTTATGTATGCTATACTATATACTATATAATGTACATATTGTAAGTAAAATAGATACAAAATAACAGAACAGATGTTCAAACATGCTACATGTATATATATGGATATTAAAATATTTAAATAAATAATTGTATACATATGTATAACAATACTATAATATATAATTTACATTATCTACTATTCCACGTGCTCATGAGTGCATTGACTATCTTGAATAAATATAGCGTTTAGTTTTTATACTTTTCCAACATTTCTTTTTGTTATAATCTCTATATGTATTTTAAAGAGAAAAAATATATAATTTCTATTATAAAAATAACAATAGAAAATAGAATCGAATAGAATATTATATTATAATGTAGTATTCTATTTATTATGCATTGCATATACATGTAGATGTATTAAGTATGTATCAAATATATTAATGTAGATGTGTATGTACAAACAATTTTTTATAATAGAAAATGTACAAAAGATTGAGATATAAATTTATGCTCACAAAACAATAAGAAATTTTAAATTATAATATTGCAAATAAGTATACGTGTATGTATGTATGTAGATTTATGTGCATAGATATTATATTATTTGCACCTACATATTAGAAGTATACACGTATACTACTCTATCACTCACATTTTCTTATGTATACTAAAATAGTACATTTTAATATACAGAATATACACGTGTATACATATATGTATGTATATTTTATGTATAATTAAAAATATATGCAAAAAATATAATAAAATTGTGAACGGATCTTACATTCATAAGAAAATATATAAAAAAAAAATATACAAAAAAAATTATAAAAGAATTGTCCCATTTTTTTTTTTTATTTTTTTAAAACTATTACAAGGGCATTATAATTGAAAGGTAGGTACTTTTTTTTTTTTTTTTATTACTTACAGTTTCTTCTTGGTGTTACATTAGTGGAACCAGTTGATGCAGAAATTGCCGGTAAACCGGTTAAATTCTTTGTAGACACAAATTTTCCTAAATTTACTAATGCTTTGGCCATTATTGATTTTATTTATTAATATTTTTTGTTTAATACAAAATGGTAATTATAAAAATATTATTTTATTCAGTTAGATATTAAAATCGTTTAATTTTTTATAAAATATGTAAATCAAATAATTTCCTTTTTTTATTTTGTATATTATTTAATTAAATTTTTTTTCTTTTAATATAGTTATTATAAAATTCTCTAACTAATTACGTAAATTATATAGACCGAACTAGACGGGATTCAGCTTAACACTGTTTGTATAATAAATGACTAAATATTCTTTGAAAAATAAAATGTGGCTGCTATAAATGTGTATATACTACTACAAAATTTTGCAAAATATGTTATATGATTAGACTGTATGTACATAAATTAATATTTATGTGTTCAGTTGTACGTAAGCTTAATAAAGAATATAACCTAACCTATAAAATATTATTTTTGAGAGAATTGCAATTTTTATAGTGGTTTTATTGTATATGTAGTTGTAAATATTAATTTTACTCTTATCTCTTTAAAAATGAGTTAGTTTTTTTTTTTGTAGAACTGTGTCTGTGTGTTTGTGTGTTTGCGGAAAAAATCAGCTTTATAAACAAAAAAAAAGTTAAACAAAATATTTATAAAAGAAAAATGTTTATAAAACAGGTACATATACTTAATTATGATTAAAAAATTTAATTATGTACTCGTATTTCAAAGAAATTAAAAAGTGTGTAAATAGTTTGTTTTATTTTTGAGTAAAAAGTTACTATAAGAACACTTGACGACATAATTTATAATTTGAGAAAATAATTTATAATTAATAACTTTTTTATAATATTTTTTTTTAAACAATTAATATTTTAAATATATATATATATATATATATACATATGTATGTATGTTATAACGGTACTGAAAAAATGTATGCATATACTTATTTTAATAATTTTTGTATAATTCAATATTTTCGGCAATTTGCACTGATTCTCACTTTTGCAATATTATTCACATATTTTCTTAATGTTTTAGTACTGCATTACCATACAATTCAGCTTGTAAGCTCAAATTGCTGAATTATATGTATTAAAATTGCGATATTACAGTTTTGAATGAAGGAATAATGCTAATGAAGATGAAATCGTTAAAGGACAAAACATCTATCTAATTAGGTATCTTGTATTACATATACAAGTATAGTCAAAGAAAGTATGGCAAAAATGCAAGAAAATATATAATTTTTTTTTGGGGCTATTAGGTAAGTAAAAATTATTCATTATTGTAACAATTCCATATTTTTAACATAATGGTACTGTATAATGAAATTTTTTAATTACATTTAATTTTTAGATCACTTTAAAACTCAATAGATTACGATATCTCCTATTAGTTATAAAAATTGTAGTACCGATATTTTATTTATTATTCAAAAATAAAATCCCCTCTTTTTAACAGTATATATTTTAGCATACGATATATTTAATGTATACATATATTTCCACTTAAAATACTTAAAAATGAAAAAAAAATGAGAAAATGATCAGAATTTTGTATACGTCAACTAGCCTAATCAATAATAAATTGATAAAAATAAAATTAATAAATTTTGTATATTAATTTTTATTTTTATCAATACTAAAAAAAAATATCTGGCAAAGCAAAATTTCTTTATATAAATGTAATTGAATCAAAATACGAAGGCGGTAAATATTTATTATTATAAATATTTTATTTATTTATAAATTAAAAATAAAAAAAAATCTCAATTTTTTTTATATATATATTAGTTCTAATTATGTATATCAATTCGATTACTTCATTGATCGGAAACAAAAACAGATTTAACATCCCAAAATAAAGAGAATAAATTGGCCTAAAAATGAATACATATATATACTAAGAAGGTTACTTTCTTTTTGAAATAGGGGACAAATTTCCTGTTATATAAATGTATAATTTTGTTTCCAATATATCGTTATATTCTTCTATCAAATATGATATTGCTGCCATAAAAAAACCCGATTAATTACTTACAAGCTGTAACTACCGCCATTTTAAAGTTATAGGGACACTTATTACATAATATTATATTATGAATTTTATATTTTCCTTATAACATCAACAGGAAATATGAACAAATAAAAACGTTTCAGTCGGTATAAACCGATTGAATTATACCCAGCACCTTTCGTTGTTGTATAGCAATAACTCGAACCTCTGAAATCATTCTATAGAAAATTCACGGGTATGTCTGACCTATAAATGGACACACAACTACCAAGTTTAATGAATCTGCTGTATGACAGCTATCCGAACGCGTTGTCCGAATTAGTCCAATTACAGTAGGGTTCGTCCTTGGCACAAAAGAAATAACTTGTGAAAGTTTGGTGTCGATTGCATTATTCCTTTTTGAGTTATCGTGCGATCGGACGGACGGATATGTCTAAATCAACGCAGAATTTTACGCTGAGCAAGAGTATGTATATATGTCTATAACGGAGATGACTCCTGCAAGTAGTTACAAACTCCATACCAAAGTTAATATACCCTTCACGAAGTGCAGGGTTTAAAAAGGAGAAGTACATAATATGTATGTTTAAAATAATTGCAAAGTACTGTATATTTAAAACTAAATAGTCCATATTATAAAAATAATCTTAATTTAATAGTAAATTTAGTATATAATTTACAGAATAAACCATGTATTCTAGTCAAATCTGGTTCTCGTCCAAAATGTAATTATATTATAAACAATAAAATTAATATATATCTTGTTATTTAATAGAGAAGATAAAAGAATTAATGAATTTAAAATTTATAAACAAATTTTTTGTAGTTGTTCTACTTCCAGGTACAATTTATTATTACTAAAATACAGTATTATTATTAAAATACTAAAAACTGTTGGTACTATGAAAATTTGGAGTATTTTTACTTCAATATTCGTTATAGATTAATATTTTAAGATTTTCAAAGGTATTTAAAGGGATGTTTCATAAACTATATAACAGTTAGATTTGGGTGGATCTATTCTATATAGATAATACATATTTCATGTTGTGGATGACATATGAACATCATGCATATAGTGGAATATTTAAGAGCGCTAATTTTATTAGCTGTTTGTAAACTAAAGTTTAATTTACTATTAATATATTTATGTACAAATTTTATTAAATCTGTTTGTTGATGAGCAGTATACACAAATTTTAATATTTACACAGTTACGAAGTTACAAACAACCGTTACATGCACTGTTCTAAAGAAGAAATTTTAAAATTATAATTTGTTTAGTTTATCTTTAAGTATACATAAATTTTATTCAAAATTTTTTTTATTCCTACATAAACATCTTCTGTTTATTTTATGATAACTGAATATCTAAACTTATGTACTTAATATGCATCAAAGATGATGTGATGATAGAATCATGTGAACATTTTTGCGCTCCGTTAAATACGTATGGCCATTAATGAAGTTTCTCGTATAATTTCTATTGTTTCTCATACAGTTTCTCATAGATTATAAAAAATATATTTTGAGTGTATATTAAATTTATTAAATAAGAGTTACCGTTATGCATTTTCATTACGGAGTTTATTACTCTGTTTACATGCAGATAATATTTAAATTCAGTCTTCGGTTTCATTTTAGTATTAATCGGGAAAAAAATGTCAATATCTCGTTTAATAGCTTGAAACTATTTTTGCTTAATGAGTGAATGAAATTATAAAATGTTGCTAGTATTTATCTAAAGAATATTTTTAAACTAGGGGACACAACACGACTACACGAAATTGTATATTTTTACATTTGCATGCACATATTAATTTTTTATAAGATATAGGAATTAAAAAAAAAATTATTTTTATTGTAGACAATCTTAATGAATCAATGCAATATTGTGTGCTGCTATCCTTTTGTGTCAATCCAAAATTAAGGCATGTAGTGAGAAAACTATTGCAAAAAGAAAATGTAAAGGCAGATTTTAGGAGAAAAAAAATTTAACTAACACTTTTTCAAAAAAAAAAAGTATTGGCAACCACTAGTAAATATAAATTCTTTGTTTTTATATACCTCACTCATATTATAGCTGAATATCGCTCTTTTTTCCTACAAATACTAAACAGGCGTCTATGCATGTACAATAATTTGTTCTCATCCTTTTATTTTTGTTATTACTGAAAAGACTTACTTTTTAAATACATATTATTTTTATAGCATATAAACTTTTTATAAATTTTATAATAATAATAGGTATAATTGCAAAAGAAAATTTCAACACAATTTCAATTTTATTGAGAGAATTAAAATTTTGTTGTTGTATATGTGTACATAGGCCTTTTATCATATCTTATAGTAAAAATGTGGGACTGATTAGGGTACTCTTATACTGAATTAGATTGCTGCTAGCTGAGGTAATTTTATTTGTTGAATAGTTATATTTTTAGTATAGCTCGAGCATTGGCAGTATACGTGTTCGGTCAAAATTTATAATTTCCATATTAATAAATATTAAACAATTGAATTGAATTTATCGCATATATTTTTTAATTAATTTTTGTTTATTTTCATTAAAATTCAAATTAAATTGTTTTATAAGTTATTTTTTTTTTTTAAATTTAAAGAAAAAATTTATAAAAATTTAGAAATAAATTATAATTACCATTTTAGGTAAATAGTTTAAAGTTATTGAACTTATATATTAACTATACCTAATAAAAATCTAATAAAGTTTAGGAGTCGAGTGAAAGAAAGGATGCGAATTTTTTTTTATACATAAAATATATTAAAAAAATTGTTTTTTTTTTTTTTTTTTTTAATAAAAATGTGAATAAATTTATTTATAATATAAAAATTTACAGATAACAATAACCATACATTTTAATCTGAGTTTAAAGAACTTAATTTATGTGCCGGTTTAAGAAAAGAAAAAAATAAGATGAAAAACATAAGAAACGTCTTGTTTAAAGCAATTATGTTCTTTGTATAAATGCGTGTGTATGTGTTGAATACAAAAGCTCCAGACTTTACGACATTTATTAAATACTCTTGTTTATCGGCCAATTGTTTTCTATTCTTTAAATTTAGCATTATTTGAACATATATACATAAATATTATTATATTTTATTAAAATTAGAAAAATGATTCTTTAAAAGCCCATTTTGTTTTTAGTAGGATTTCAAATATTGTTATACTATTAGATTAAACTTTTATAAGCTTTAATACTATCTCAAACTAGATATTGATAAAATAAATATTTTTTGAGCTATATCTTTAGATTTGACAAACTCATTTTGCTACTCTCTAAATGTCCATACCATAAGCTCTCATATGATGAGTTTTGTGATTGTGTATTTTTACATAGCCTCCTATAATGTATGTATTAGTATAAAGATGCCTGTGGTATTTTACTGTGTACGTTAATACAACAATAAAAGTTATGCATGGATGTGTGAGTCTTACCACACTAATGCAAATAACTTTATACATGAGTTTGAATATGTGTTCAAATTTATATATATATATATATATATATATATGTTTCACGAACACATAATTGTATAAATTTATATAACTGTGAATTGTTTCAACAGTTCTTTTCAAATCTCTTTTACTTTTCAAATCTTTAAGATTCTTTATGGATGCTCTCCAACTTCCTCTCAAAGGTGCTTGTATATATATATATATATATATATATATATATATATGATGTATAACAAGTTTTTGATAACATTTTTAAATTTCTGAATTACGCTGTTTTCTTTGTTTCTTTCAAATTTTATGAAAGATATTTGGCGCTTTTTTATTAAAAAACAAAAAAAAAAAAATGTCAGCAAATGACGTAGGGTAAAAAGACGTGTATTTTTCCACGTGTTTCTAAATAAATTTAAAGTAACCTGTGTAATAGTAGTGTATATATATGAACATATGATGTACCTATATAAGTAGAAAAATAAATAAAAATTGTTAAATATTGTGCGTACGCAGATAATAGAAAATCTTTCAATTTATTTTTAAAAAGGAAAGTGAAAGTTTTTAGGATAAAGTATATGTACATACATATGTACATATGTATTTATTGATAGTATATTAAAGTGTACTTATTAATACTTTTCTAATTTTTAAAATTGAAGATCACTTAATTGTTACCCATTTTTAAAATTGAGTTAGAATTGAACCCTTAGCGCAGGACTTGAACTAAGACGTTTATCAGAATAATATGTGAACTTATGTAAATTTTAAGCTTTAAAAGTTTTTAATAGTTTATGAATTTTAGTAAATACATAAATCCATACATGAAAAACGTAGAACTTATGATGGAAAACTTGTATTTTCAATATATTTTGACAAAAATAACTAAACAATATTTTGCAAAACTTAATCTACTTACGTAGTCACATATACATATACATACATATGTACATAATATGTATTTAGTTAAGTACAATTACATATGTTATTATTTTAGATTCTGTATACATATAGGTTTGTTAGTTAAACCGAAGCCGAAATTCGAGAGTATCTGTCTAATTAGAAAAAAAACATCAGTAGTAAAGTAGGAAACTTGTCTTACTTGCTCTTGACCCTTTTTAAAATAGAAAATTTTCTATTTAATTTTACAGCTAAAAAAATAAATAAATAAACGTCTTTACTAGGTATTTTCTTTAGATTTTATTGTTCTTTGCTTAGTCCGGTTTCAAGAAAAACCTTCTGGAAGCATTTTTACGAGTATACCACAAATAGCCACTAAAATTTGTACATTTTTAATGATCTATATGCATTTTTTATGAAGTGACCGTATTATGTATTACTACACAATTCAGCAATTACAATTCATGAGCTGAATTGTATCTGAATATTTTATATGACTGCAATTTTAAAGAGAAAAACTATTTTTGAAATTATATGGTAGCTCTTAAATCAAAATCTATATACGAATACAATATGGGTTAAAGAATATTGTAAATAGAAAGTACATATTTTAAGTCTTTGAACATCTAATTGGAAAATACTTACTTATAAATTAAAATTTGAAAATTTTTCCACATTTAACCCGGCGTTAGCCGTTTTATCTGTCAACAGAGAGATTAATGTACAGAAGAAATAAACTGAACAGTATAATGTTGTAAAATTTAGCGTTTACAACTCGTTATGGAAATCAGATTGTATATTACCTTATTACTACCTTACTACCTTATGATTTTGAAATCATAACAATTTAATACTGCACAAAGTGTTCAAAGCATTTCAGGAAATTAATAATCATTTAAGAATAATTTGTAATGCATTTATTTAAATTTGTTCTTATTTGTATATGTGTGTGAATTTGTGTATTTGTAAATCAGCATAAAAAGAAAAAAAATCAATATTCTTATTTTTTGCAATAATCGCAATATTGTTATCAACTTTAATAATAATCTTTGAATAGTAAGTTGAAATGACCTATTATTTTCAAGTCATTTAACTTAAAAATAACTTTTATGATGATTTGATTTAGAGATTAACTACCATAGCTTGTAGCATGTTCAAAATATTATGTAAATTACTTTTTAAGTGAGTACATTTTAATGTAATGAGTACTGGGCTTCTAACACCGAATTTTCTGCTCATTCTTATTTGAAAAATTATTGTTAAAATATGTATGTATGTATAAAAAATATTTTTTAAAGATACTACAAATAAAATCTAATTATATGAAATCCAAAGATCTTACTCTTTGTAAACTTATAGTTTCGGAACCAGAAGTATTTTCGAATTCCGCGCACATAAAAAATTATGTATTAAATTATTTTTCTTGCATAAACGAAAATTTTCAAAATACACTTTGATTCTCTCTCAAAGAATTTGACCGTCCACTTAAATTTAAATATATAATCATAAACTGGCTTCTTTTTCAGCAATACAATTTTAATTACTAAATAATCAGATTGCAATTATAGTGGGTTTTCTTAAGATTTCTTTTACACGATAACTTATTTTTGGTTTTAATGATTTTGTTGTTATATCTGCTTTTCTTAATTAATTCCTGAAGCTTAATTTCTTAATGAGTTCTATAAAACTTTGATATTTAATAAAGTGTAATAATACGACTGTAGACGATATTAGTTAAGAACAAAATCGCATAAAGGCATCTGTTTATCAATTTATATATGTATGTGTGTGCATGTATGCGTATTCAACCACCTTAGAATATTAATGTACAGAAAACAATGCATCCTTTCTTTACACAGTTTAAATTAAAATACTATAATACAATAAAATATATAAAATACATTTTTCAGGATCACGGTAACGCACAATATCTTTAATTGATATTAAAATAATGACTCGGGGAGTTTTAACATTATGTAAATATGCCAATACAAATTTTTATACTACGCCAGTAATAAATCCTTTGCGATTGTTTTCTGGATCTGTTAAGATATTACAAAAAGATGGTAAACCTGTTGAGGCGGTGAAAGGTATTCCATATAAGAATTTAGTAATAGGAGTCCCTAAAGAAAGATGGACAAATGAGAGGCGAGTTGCAATGACTCCAGCTGTTTCAGCTGCACTCATAAAGAAAGGATTTAATGTACAAATGGAAAAAGGAGCTGGAGTTGAAGCAAAATTCCGTGATGAAGATTATACTGGAGTAGGTGTCAAACTTGTTGATGAAAACTCAATTTATAATTCTGGTATAATCAAATTAAATCTGTTACATATGAATACATATATTTTATTCTTTAATCACAAATGTATTATTATATAATTACAGATATTATTTTAAAAGTTCGTCAACCAATGGAATCTGAAGTTGAAAAATTTAAACAAGGGCAAACATTAATTTCATTTTTATATCCAGCACAAAATAAAACACTAATAGATAAAATGTCCACAAAAAAAATTAATGCTTTCGGTAAAATTCTTTTATAATATACATAAATTTTTGTTATATTCATAAAACATGTTTTAACTTTCTTTTATGTTAATATTCAGCAATGGATTGCATCCCAAGAATTTCCAGAGCTCAAGTCTTTGATGCCTTAAGTTCAATGGCAAACATTGCCGGATATCGAGCAGTTATTGAAGCAGCTAATCATTTTCCACGATTTTTTAGTGGCCAAATAACAGCAGCTGGCAAAGTTCCGCCTGCAAAAATTTTAGTAGTTGGGGGCGGTGTTGCTGGATTAGCTGCAATTGGGCAAGCTAAAAATATGGGAGCTATTGTTAAAGCCTTCGATACAAGATCAGCTGTAAAAGAACAAGTTGAAAGTTTAGGAGCTGAGTTCTTAACTATCGATATCAAAGTATTAATATAAAATTTGTGCATATAAAATTTTTTGCTATATTTTTTTTAATTATAGGAAGAAGGTGGAACGGCAGCTGGTTACAGCAAAGAAATGAGTAAGGAATTTATTGAAGCCGAACACGCATTATTTGCAAAGCAGTGTGAAGAATGTGATGTCATCATTACAACGGCATTGATACCTGGGAAGAAGGCACCTTTGTGAGTAAATAAAATTTTTTGAAATTGTACTCTTAATTTATCTTACAACAGTTTATGAGTACTGCAGAAATATGAGACTATTGCTTCCTGTTTTATTCTTTTTGTGAATTTTTTTTTGGAATGTTCTGTAAAAAGTGAATCTTTTTGAGTTAGAACTCTGAAGCTTAGAAAATAGGCCTATACGGCTACAAGAACTTCTGACTTTGCCAGTTTTTGGTTTCAAATTTTTTTCTGATAATAATCGGAAACTGTTGAATATGGAATAGAATCAAAGAGATTTTGAAAAGCTCTACAAAAGTTGTTGGTTAACTAAATAAAACCTCAATAAAAGTCCCAAATGACAAAATATGTTTTCCAAATTATAAAAAAACTAAGAACCTCTGTACAACTAGGTCTCATATTTCGACAGCTTCCCAGTTGTCTCCGACAATTCCACATCAAAGTTGTTTTGTTTTATTTGTTAGCAATTAGTTTCATTACTGTATTAAATTAAAAATTATAACTTATTTTACTCGCATTTTTAGGCTTATTCTAGAAGAACACGTTAAAAAAATGAAACCTGGAAGTGTAATAGTCGATTTAGCAGCTGAAACTGGAGGGAACGTCGCAACAACAGTTCCTGGAAAAGTAGCTGTAGTTCATGATGTTGTTCACATAGGTTTAACAGATTTATCGAGCCGACTGCCTACTCAAAGCTCTACGCTTTATGCAAATAACATTTCAAAATTCTTATTATCTATAGGAGAAAAAGATCATTTCAATATTAATTTAAATGACGACGTAGTAAGAGGCTCAATAGTATTAAAGGATGGTGAATTAATGTGGCCACCACCAGTAATATCAGTTTCGGCAGCACCACCACCATCGGTGTCGAAGACAACTGCAAAAGCCGTAGTTCCTGTGGCCCCAAATCCTTTTAATGATACTCTAAAAACCAGTTTAACTTATACTGCTGGTCTAGGCTCACTTTTGGCTTTAGGTATTGCATCTCCAAATCCCGCATTCACAACAATGATGACAACGTTTGGATTATCTGGTATTGTTGGTTATCACACTGTTTGGGGCGTTACTCCAGCTTTACATTCGCCTTTAATGTCAGTAACAAATGCTATATCAGGAATAACAGCCGTAGGTGGTTTGTTGCTGATGAATGGGGGATATTACCCTACAAATACAGTAGAAGTAAGCGTTATATATACAAAAGTTTTTCATGGAACTAGAAAAATATAACGTTTCGTTTAAGGGTTTAGCCGCAGCCGCAGCACTCATTTCTTTTGTCAATATTGCAGGTGGTTTTCTTGTTACACAAAGAATGCTAGATATGTTCAAAAGACCAGATGATCCACCAGAATACAATGGACTGTACGGAATTCCTGCTGCAGTTTTCCTCGGGGGTTATGGTTATGCTGCTTTTCAAGTAAAAATAAATTTTATTAAAACTACATTTTTATCATTGAAATGGGTTTATTAATATTGCAGAATTTACCAGAAGTTCACCAAATGACATATTTAGCAGCTAGTTTATGTTGTGTAGGAGCATTGGCAGGTTTATCATCACAAAAAACTGCACGCGTTGGAAATGCCTTAGGAATGGTATCTATACTTTAAATAGGAATCCATTAATTACAAATTCTTTATAATATTTTTATTATAGATTGGTGTAAGCGGAGGTCTTGCAGCTACTTTAGGATTCATGTCCCCTAGTACAGAAGTTTTAATGCAAATGGCTGGAGTTGCCGCAATGTAACATAAATGTTTTTTTAATTAAACTTATTGTTTTATGAAATGACTTTTTTAGTGGAGGAAGCATTGGTGGAATAATTGCAAAACGTATTCAAATAACTGATTTACCCCAATTAGTAGCTGCTTTTCACAGGTAAGATCCATATTGCTTAAATAAATGACAAGGTTTATAAATAATCCAATTTTAGTTTGGTGGGATTAGCAGCAGTTTTAACATGCGTAGCGACATACATTCACGATTTCCCTACTCTTGCGACAGATCCAGCAGCAAATGTTTTAAAAACAGCTCTATTTTTGGGAACCTACATTGGCGGTGTTACTTTCAGTGGTTCCCTTGTTGCATATGGTAAATTGCAAGGAATTTTGAATTCGGCACCACTTCTTTTACCTGGGCGTCATGCAATAAATGCAGCTCTTTTAGCTGGTAATGTTGGAGCTATGGGGGCATTTTATATGGAACCGACATTATCTGGTGGATTAGGTTTATTGGGAGCTACATCGGCTATGTCGACAATCATGGGATTAACTTTAACTGCTGCTATTGGAGGAGCTGATATGCCAGTTGTAATTACTGTACTTAATTCGTATTCCGGTTGGGCATTGTGTGCTGAAGGATTTATGCTAAATAATAATTTGATGACCATTGTTGGGGCGTTGATTGGTTCATCTGGAGCTATTTTATCATATATTATGTGTAAGGCGATGAACAGATCGCTACCAAATGTTATTTTAGGTGGCTATGGAACCTCTTCAACTGGAACTGGAAAACCAAAGGAAATTACAGGAACCCATACAGAAATTAATCCTGATAATTGCATTGAGCTAATACGTAATGCTAAAAATATAATCATTACCCCTGGCTATGGTTTATGTGTAGCTAAAGCACAGTATCCCATCGCTGAAATGGTTTCAATATTAAAATCAAAAGGAAAAAATGTAAGATTTGGTATTCATCCGGTTGCTGGACGTATGCCAGGTCAATTGAACGTCCTATTAGCTGAAGCTGGGGTACCTTATGATGATGTACTTGAAATGGAGGAAATCAATGAGGACTTTAAAGAAACAGATTTAGTTTTAGTTATTGGAGCTAATGATACTGTTAATAGTGCTGCTGAAGATGATCCAAATTCAATTATAGCTGGAATGCCAGTATTAAGAGTATGGAATGCTGAAAATGTTGTTGTAATGAAGAGATCTTTAGGTGTAGGTTATGCCGCTGTTGATAATCCCATATTCTACAAACCTAATACTTCCATGTTATTGGGAGATGCGAAAAAAACGTGTGATGCTTTATTAAGTAAAATTAAGGAAGTATATAATTAATTAATTTTAAATTTACAAAACGAAACAATTTAAACTGGAATGAAAAGTATGTATATTAAATATTTAAAATGTAATTTTTATAAAGTATAATGTCTCGCATATTTTTGTGCATTTTGAATTTGTAAAAAAAAAAAAATTTTTATTATAAATTTTAATAAATTTTTTAAATTTTAAGTAAATTTTCTTTACCAACAAATACCGTTTCTTTATTTTTATATGCATATAAAATGCCATAAACAACTTTAGATTTGAGTTCATATTAAAGTCAAACAAACGATCTTTAAGAAAATAAGAGACGGCTTTTCTAAGTAAAAGAAAGCATTGTATAAAATGTAGAATCGCAAAAAAAGGTCAACATAGGTTGGGTAATAAATTCAATCCAAAATTTAACATATCTATACCGCTACACTTTCAAGACAATAAAAAACTTTATCTTAATTTTTAGACGTTTTCTAATATTGCATGTTGAAAAAAAAACTACAAAAACTATGATTCAATTATATGTTTCTCGGTAAATATTTTCAATAATAAGATACTGCTAAAATATTCAGTTAAGTAAATAAAATAAAATGCAATGAATCCAAATGCAAATGAAATGAAATATAAAGAAGATCGAGTTTTTGGTAAAATCGAAAAAGATTTTAAATGTATGATATTTTTTACGGATTGTTTGGTATCCTAAAAACATTTTACATTATAATGATTCAAAGCATAAATTTTTAATTGAGCATTAATTCCTCAATCGAATTTGAAAGATTTATCTTTTAATATCAATCTTGATATCTTTTAGTTTGCGTTTTTTAAACCTCACATATATTCATATACATATGTACATGTATTTGAATTGACACGATTTGTATGTTTACTAACGCAAATGAAATTGAAAAAAAAAAAAAATGAATTCAATAAAACTTTTTGTTTATTTCGACAACTATTCACTTAAATTATCACATTTAAATTTTATTTACATGTTAATATGCTATTAAATTTATGTATGTATAATTGTATGTATAATATATTCAAATTTTTATGTTTCGTAAAAAAATGTTTTATATCTAAAAAAAAAACTCTTATTTTAAATTATTATATGATAAGCAGGAAAAAAAAATATAATGCGAAATAAAACGTACATATTCTTCATTAATACATTAAACACACACTTTTCTCAGAAAATTTCTTTTAATATTAAAACTATTCATTAATTAATAAAAAGTTTTTCGATTGAAGATTGATTATTTAACTTGACATAAAATTTTCGATTATTATTTTTGTTTTTTTTTAAATATAATGATTGTAAATTTTTATTCTTTTAAATTTCATTATACATAATTAAAATAATTACAGTTTATAGACTTTTTAAATTTTTTTAAAAATATTTTTATAGACAATATATAGATAAAATGTGCATATAAATTAAAGATTAATATAAAGGACATAATTTTATTATAAAATTTAGCTAGCTAAACTAAAGTTGTAGAATAGAAGCAATAAATTTTTGCAATAGAGGCTCACTACCATTTAAAAAGCTTGCTAAACAATAATGTACATTGAAAAAAAAAGAAACATTTTTAATTTTATTTTAGAAATTTATCGTACCATTTTTTCATGAAAACCCTTTTTAATAATAGTAAATTTGCAGTTTAGTTACTGATTGCAAAATTTCAAATATATTGCATTTATTTTTTTTTCTTAATATTTATTAATCGATTGATGATTTTAAATTTTCATTGTTAAAGACTTTATATAAAAAATGATTTGAACTTTTTTGAATTTATTTATGTATGTGTAACGCAGAATTGCGTTGATAATTTCAAATGAATAATTCACGATTTTTTTTTAACAAATCTAAATAAAAATATTAAAATGGTTCTAATTATTTTTATACATAATAATAAATTTATAATTACGGTAATTATAAAAATTCATTATCGATGATTTAAATTTTTTTGGTCGTTATAATTATTTTATTTTTTAAAAACTTGTAATAAATTTTTAACTTTACATTTTTCAATTAAATAAACAAATTGTTTGTCATAAAAACAAACTGAAAAATCAAAATTTTTAATGGTTACCGAATTTAAATATTTATTTCGTTTGTGTTTTATTTTTATATTGCATAAAAATAATTTTAACAGAAATGATCCCAGTGCCAGCATTTCTTACATTTGTAGATCAAAGCAAAAAAAATTCCAAATTTTTAGAAATATTAGAACTGTATGTTATATTTTTTACAATAAAATTTATTTTGGTTTTATAACGTTTATTACTAATAAAATTATAGTAATAAATGTTATAAAACAAAACCCTAATATTTCAAAACATGTAGCTCTTTATATTTGAGGAAATACATGGGGATAGTTTGTGTTTTACGCTTATCTACAAAATGTTACAATGTTATCTACAATTTGGAAAATAAATTACAATATTCGTATTTGTGATTATTCAATTTGAAATTTTAAAAGGCAAATATAACTAGAAAAAACTTAAAAGAATATATTTTTTGTAGAATACAATTTAAATTTAAAATTACAATTTACAAAAAACTCTGTTCATTTTTTAATATTGAATAAACTCAATTTCTTTTACATCAAAAAAAATTATTAAAATTTACTTGCATTTTTAGATGATGTAAAAGAATTAAAATATCGTCTTAATTTTTTTTTTATTATCAAAATATTACCAGCTATTACTATATTTTAGAACCTTTTAATTTTAAGAAACTAATTGGAAAATTTATGATAATAAATATGTATATTTATGTATTTATATACATACATATTGGTTAAACAAAACATCTACTTAAAATAATTAAATCAGATTACTCTTAAACACCTACACTCAATTTTTCCTTTATACTATTGTTTCTTTTTTTTTTTACTTTATGAACTTTACTTATAATATGAACTATTTCAGCACCATTTTTTTTTAATGTTAAGATCATTGCTAACTAAGAAAATATTGATGTGAACATTAATTTAGTTAAGAATTGGCAATATTTTGTGTATTTCTTTTTATTAAATTTTAAAATATTATGTAGTAGTAGTAGTATATAAGAAAAGATTATATTATATATTCCTATTAAATTTAAATTATTTTTTGATTTTGAAAAGCAGATACCAATTATTAAGCAAATCTGGTTTTCATATATCAAGTTTAGTTTTATATTTTAAATTAATTCTGATTTCCACTTAGAAGAGTTACATTTACTACCATTTCAATTTCATATTCTATTTTTTTTGCCATTTTGTTTTGCGTATTAATTTTCGTTTTTCTTTAAACAAATCTTTAAAAAGTTTCAACTTTATTATGTTTATTATCTAAACATTTTTAATTTTTTTAATATATGTATGTAGATGTATTCAGTGATCGTAAAACATGTACGATGAAATTTTTGAAGTAATCTTATAATATATTTTAAGCGTTTTCATTTTTGCAAAAGATTTGTATGCTAATGATAATATTAGAAGCATGTATATATTTCTAGGAGAATCTATTTTTCGTTATAAATTCTAAAATTTTTCATCTATTGAAATTTTTTTGATGTACATACACACATGTATATTAGTGTTTTAAATTTTTTCAAATGAATTAAAGTTCTGAATAACTTTGAGCAAGACAAATAAATATTAACTGTTTATAATAACTGTCCGATAAATTTTATATAATCCAAAAATGAAAACGCAGTATTATAGTTATTTTGAAAAAAGAATACGAAATCTTACATGCGAGTACAACTTATTGATCTGTTAAATAAATAATTTCAAATAAAACAAGACAGCAAATGGTAAAATTGCAAATTAACCTTATTATGGAGAATTGTGTATTATAATAGATAACAGCTTTTAATTCTTTATTGTAAAATTTTGTTGATATAAACTTACATATATAATCGAACCTAGGACGCAACATAACCAGTCTAGATTTTAAATTATAGCATAAAAGATTACTTAAATCGTAGTTTAATATTAATGTAATTTTTATCCAAGTTGCAAATTAATAAAATTCCAAGTATTGACAGATTGCAAAAAAAAAAAAAATATAATTTGCTAAAGGTTAAAAAATTAAGAAATCAAAATTTATACACTTAATCCTCCTTTTTTATCAGATAATATAGCAAATATAATGATACTTAAATAATTCTTAGACCAGATTCGTACATATTTCACAAAAATTAAAAACTTGTTAATTTGTATCAAGTATTCTTAAAAACGAGATATTAAACGCGATTATTTCATAAAACATATAGAAATTTTTGAATTTACAAAATTTTAGCGTATTTTCAAAGCACTTTCCTACATATGTACATAATGTACATAATCTTTTTCATGTTGGATAAGACACGTACTGTAGGTATCTTATTACTGTACATGTACATAATGTTCCATAAATTATTGTACATAAGGTACAATTGAATTGCTGATTTTCAAAAATTGCATAAAATTTATATCAATTATTGTGAAAAACCGTATGTATCTAATTTATAAAATTATAATTATACTATGTGTTGTTAATTTTGTGTTAATAAAATGCAAATTATTAATTCTTATCTTTAGTAAATATGTTTTTGTGTTTTGTAAGATAATGTTCACTTTAAAATAAGCAAAACCTACGAAAAAAACTTTTATTTTACGAATATTTTATATATAAGTATTATTAAAAAACCTTTTTTAAAAACTTAAAATGACTAAAAGAAAATTTAATCAATCGGTATCTTCTTTCCATTTTTCTTTAGCTTCCAATCTGGCATCTGGTACTAATTGATTTTTTACTCCACCTAAAACATTTGTTGTTGCTTGCGTAGCAAGAACAACCGGGCAAACCATAATTGGTGGAATTTGTCTAAAAACTGCACCAACGGCCCCTGTGTATCCTTTTTGATCATGTTCAGCAACTGTATTTTCTATTAAAGTTTGTGCAGTTTCATTGATTCCCTAAAAATAATTTATTACATTACATGCTTACATAAGTTTTAATGATATCAATACTTCTTTGACAATTTGATAAGCATTTGCTACACCTTCTCTTATGTCTTGTGGCCGGTGTGGTCGTTTGCGTTTACCTTTCCGGTTATGGCGACCGCGTCTGACAGATGGACCCGGCGAAACTAAATCAAAAGCTGTTTCAGCAGTAATCTATGAGAAAATTTTTGTAGAATATTTTATTTTTCAAAACTTATTTTAATTTATTAATAAAATATAATTTGTTTCTGGGATACCTGTAATAAATGGATGATTCGTGATGTGATTTCTAATGCTGCTAAAGCAGTTCTTGCTGTAAAGCTTTGAGCACCAAGTTGTATTCCACGTACGATTCTTCCATCTTTTTGATATTGTTCGATTGGCAACCAAAACAAGTCACGAATTCCTTGAACTTAAGATTGAAAAATTTACAATTAATCATAAGAAAAAATTACTTTTTTCTAATCCAACTTACATAGTTGTACTAAAGTATACATGGGCCCCACACCACTTAAAATTGTTGGTAATTGATTTTTCTTTATATCTTGGAGCCATTCTTTGAATAAATAGTTTAGCAACTTATCTGCACCCAATAGCCCATGTCTATTGAAATTTCATTCCAAAAATAAAAAAAATGTAAAATGAAATATTAAAAATGTAAAGGAATGCTAGTTTCAATTTAAATTACCTATAAACAATCTTTTTCAAACGTATCTCAGAACACTGTAGTTGTCCTAAGCCCATTAGAAGACCAGCTACCGGACCTCTGGACATTTCGATTCTTCTTCCGTGATAATCCAATCGAATCAAAACTTCAGGACTAAAAACGATTTCCCTAAAGTAAATAGGGACACTATCTTCAACTTTATTTTCATTTGAATGTTCGTTTGATGAAGTCGTCTCATGTTCTTTGCTCAAATTCTTATGGTGATCTTCTTCCATCAATAATTCCAAATTGGTCGAAACTAATTTTCTAGCTTGTAAATCATGTAATGCTTCTGGAATATCATCGACCATCATTACAGGCTCTTGTAATTGGTTTGCATTTTTTTTTAAATTACTGGAATCGTCAGCATCGGATTCATTACTACTTAATTCATTGAAAAACTGAACTAAAAATAGCAAGGTATCTTGATCAATATTCAATCGTAAGGGAAGTAAAGAAATTCGTAAAGAACATTCTTGTGTATTCGATTTGTAAGGATTTGGTCTAACGTGCAACGCTTTAATAACGATCATATGTTGAGAACTTTTATTAGATAAATTTTTGGCAGTTGGATGATACAAAAATTTATTTATTTCTGAAGTTTGCAACCGATCGCGAATTTCCATTTCAGAAATTATAAGAACCTGGCGCGAAGCCTGTGATGTAGTCTTCGGATATATTTCATGTGAGAGACGTACTTTCGTCAGTTGAATTTCAACCAACACATCTTGCTTGCGTTCAGGTCCACCCTTTGTTTTCCAAGATAATTTTGAAATTGGCTTTTTGCTACCAAACTGAACTGATTGATGTCCCTTTGAAAAGGAAACTCCCATTTTGTATGCTTCTGACATTTCATATTTTCGGGGCCTTCTAAAAGTTTTAAATTAATATAAGCTTATAGAAGAAATTTTCATTCTTACAAATTTTCTTTGTTTTTTAAGACATCGTTGTTTGTTTCCTCTTTCGTCGGAAAATCATGTCCACCATACAAATGCCATGTTACTGTCATTTCGCACAATGTATACCTAATCTGTGCTACAGGAAAGCCCTCTGGTGCTTTCAGTAGGTCAGGTTTACCGGTTGGTAAGGTGAAATGGTTATCAACAATCCTTAAAGGATCAGAGGAAACTTTTACATTTTCGTGACCACACTTTGTCTGAAAAAGACAAAATAAATAAATTAATTAAAAATAATCCAAAAAATAAATAACGAAAATATTACCAATAATGCCTTTTCTTCTTCAGCAACAAAATAAAAATCGTCATCTAAACTTATACTACTTTTTCTTGAGTGACTAGATATATCTTTTGTAGAAACTTTGCAGGGTATTTCTCCCAATTCCTCTCTGATCTGAGGTAATGCCTCAACAACTTCGTCGTCAGCCATATATGACATACTCATAACAGACGTTTCAAAATTTAACAGATCTCTTAATTCATTACTACTTTCACTTTCACGGCGTGGTTTATTAAAACGCCATTCTTCGGAGCTTGATCGCGATACAGTTGAATAATTTTCTGTAGTTGATTTTCTTTCATCTTCAGCCAATATTTTTTCTGGTTCAATTTCGTTTGAACTTTTTTCCTGACCTTGTAGAAGATTTTCTTTATCCTTTAAAACGTGCTGGTTAGTTTCATCAGGGAAGAAAAATAGCTCAACACCTTTTTCAGTTTTTATTTTATCATCATCCTTTGAGCCTTTTTTTGGAAAAACTGTTTCTTGTAAAGCTTCCGCCATCAAAGCGCTAACCCGCTCTTGTTGCTTTGCAGAAATTTCCAAATTTGTTGGCAGTGGTTCCTCCACAGATAATAAATCCGCGGAGTTTTCATTTGAAGTAGAATTTGTCTTGAAAACGAAATGTTTTTGCAATGAAAAACCTTAACAAGAATTTTTTGAAAATTTACCTCTTCAGAATTATTTTCTTCATTACCCAAATCGCCATCTGACGCAATATATGCTATTAGTTGAGCAAACACTTTACCGGAATCTGAACATGTCCTTAAATGTAAATCTTGTATAGATGCCCTCAAATCCAGCTTTGGAAGTAAGTCACTATTTTTATCGTTTAATCGTAACGAAATATCTACAAGTCCTACATCCAAAACAGGAATTAAATTTTTAGAATTAACAAATGGAATCCCATGTTTAGATATATTATGATGTTGCTTCACGTCCTGTTGAAAATATTACATGCAATGTTTGCTTTATAAAAAAATAAGATATCTTACATAATGTGCTAATGATAAAACACAGTCCTCTGCAATGAATCTTAAAGTACAGCCCGGAACGGATGAAATTATATTACTACTTAACATAAAATTTCCTATTTCAACTATTGCCCGATACGGAAAATGTAAAGGTCTATAATCTATAGCGCAATCCCAGAGGTGTAGCTGGATTTCTGTTACAACATGATATGGAGTATATCCTTGAATCGGATAGTCCTAAAAACATTAAATTAATTATTCATTGATAGAGGAAGTTATTTTTAAACAAATAAATGTTTTACGAACCACCACGTCAAATAAGTCGATTAATTGATTTAACCATGTATGTTGAGATGCAGCGGGGTTATATTTTAGAGTTGTATTCTGTATTCCAGCTGTTATTCGTAATCTCTGTGAATAAATTTTTTTAATATTATAAAGCGCTTCAATACTAAATATTGTAAATCCAAAATTACTTTTATTCTGTTTTGTGGAACTTTTTTAATTTCAATTGCAAATGAAACCATTTCTCTAGTATCTACGCCTTTGGATGTGCTTAGGGTTGAGTTATTTGGTGTTGGATAAAATGTAGGTAAAAGGTGAGCAGGTAATGCTGTTTTTATCAATCTTAAAATAGGTTCGCCATTTAAAGTTGGTGTTAAACCTAGAAAACAAACAATTTTAAAACATTTTGCGTTCTAAAAATGAAACCAACAATATTACTTACCGCAATGATATAATTTAACCGCGTTTGACTGTATACATAAATATGCTAAATTTTCATTGCCATTAAAACCACTAACTGAAAATAAATTGAAATCTCCAACATTAACTACAAATTCTCCTGACTGTCCTGGAATAACCCGATTTTCTGAATCTCTAACGGGCGTGAAAAATGTACACTGAGCTTCTTTTGCGATTAATTCAAACGAGCATTCACTTAACGCCAGCGATGGAATTTTTTCAACTCGTTTTGAGCTTCGATTTTTATTTTCATAAGTTGAGTAATACACACTATTTGATTCGCATTCGCTCTCATTATTAGTGGAAGACGAATTTGTATCATCTATAATATCATTATCACTTTTGTCCTGATATTCATTAGTTTCAGGCGTTGATGGGATATACAAAGATTCCGACATTCCACAACTCCATAGCATTTGGTCTATGTTGTTATGTGTTGTCGGTTTCGTTAGTTTTTCTTTGGCTTTCGAAGATTTTTTGCGACCTGGTGCTGTAGGTTCCCACATTAATAAATCTGAATTTAAACGGTTGTATATTAACTCATAGAGCATTTTCGAATGTATTTGAACACTAGCTATAGGAAGAAAAACTTTAAACTGTAATTTTGAAGTTTTCATTGCTTTTTCACAAAAATTCCTCATTTCAACTGTTTCGCCTGGCAAAAGTATTGTCTCAGTATCTTCTGTAAAATAAAATAATTTTTCGATATCGAATTCAAATGCATAAAAAAATATTCTTAATATAAGAATACCATAATCGTTTTTTTGATGAACTGTATCACTTTGACGACAAACTCTTTTAGAACTGAAAGGCAAAGGTTCGCGGTTTTTTCTTGAATAATATTTACAACTTTCTCCAGATGTTTCTCCGCTGTCACTGTCATCTATAGTACGCTTCAGTGATGATTTTAGAGATTTATCTGAAGGAAACTCGATGGAAATTTTAGGATATTCAATTTCATCACAAGAATTATTTAATAGCGTTGATTTACCAACGTGCATTTTTTCTCCATTCGTGCTTTCCTATAACAAAATGTAGAGTTAACAAAAAAAAAAATTTTATTGTACTAAGAATTGTAACTTACACAATAGTAAAAATTAACTTCATTAGAGCACACTTCAATTAATGTGGATGTATTTTTTAACCGAAATTGAAGAAAGTCAAATAAGAGGAAATCTGGTCTAATATTTTTCTTCCACCACGGTGTTCTATTGGGGTCGTGTAGAGGTCTTGAGTCAACAATTGGGAATCTTAATCGAAAGTTCAATTTTGGCGAATCAAGATTCAATTCAAAAGTTGGTTGTTTTTGCTTATTCGGAGAAATGCCACTTTCTTCCCGTTTCTTGCTTTCATTATTTTTATAATCTATTTTAAAAGGAGTTCCATTGAAAATTGCACTTAGCCGATCTATTATTGAAATATCGAAATCCACTACACAAGATTCTAAATTCAAATTCAAATTCGTTTTTAAAGTAGCTTTTTTTCCTTTGTTATTTTGAACTGTAGGTGCTTGGGATTTTAAGTATAATGTGATTTCAGGTCTTTTATGGAAGCCATCACTACATATCTAAAAATTAGGAAAAATTTTAATTTTCTTAATTAAAAAGATTTTTGAACGTATCGGATAATATTAAATATTATAAACTTAAATTACCTCGTCCCTCAAAAATTCAACTAAAGGACTGCGCTCGTTGTCTAGAATTTCCAAAATATCTACTTTCGTAAGTGAACATTTTAATTTCAATATATTATTGCTATTGTTCCTTTGTTGTTCTCCATCTAATATTACTGGAGAACACATAACTTTCAAATAATTTTTATTGCACTTAAAATTATCGACATTCTGTTCCATCATGGATTTGAAATAAAAATTGGATAAATCTTCTAACTGCGAAACACTATCTTCACTTAACGGTGGGAAACCAATTTGCGTAGAATTTTCTAATAATATATCTTCGTGCAAAAAAATTGCTGTCATAGAAGCAATTCGTATATTAAATGTTGAAATACTGCCATTAGAGTCATATAAATGGGCAGATTTTCTATGATATTTTGATGAAAAACTTGTTGATGTACTTGTTGTCATAGAACTATTTACTGATTCAGCATATTCAAAACTGCAGAAATTACTTTTGCTTTCACTGATATGATCACTTTTTATAGAAGAGGAATATTTTGGTAAATCTCCTGAAAAAGAAAATAAATCGTCTTGTATGGGGTCGAAAGACCATCCACCCATATTTCCAATATTGCCAGACATATTTGAAGACACTCTATTCTGTTGCCTTTTTCTTAGTTTTTCAGAATCTTTAGTTTCTTTGACATTAACGCAATCTTTCTTCTCCATAAGGTAATCTTTATTTTTAAAGCAAATTTCATAGTATGCTAATAATAAATGTAATTGTCGGGGAGAAAGGAATACATTTACTAAATTGAACTGAAATTCTAACGAAACTTTTGGGCCACTTATTGCTTCTGATTGTTTCATTTTTATTCGAATATCCTGCTTTCCAACAAAATGTGCAAATTGAATTTTTTTGTTTGAGTAACACACAGACTCATTTTCTGAATAATTTTCTTCAGTAACACTTTCATCGGCTTTTTCTGTTGGTGTTGAAATTGTGCGTGAGTTTTGTATTGCAGTTTGTGGTAAATCAGACATAACACTATAAAATTGTTGACTGGACAAAAAGCTAGAATTTAAATTAGCAGAACCTGGATTTGATGTTTCAGTTTCACCCACTGAACCTATTCGAAATTCTTCCGTGTAAAATGTAATTCCATCTATAGAAATGTGATGAGTAGCATAAGTTGATAATAAATGAGTTTTCTGTTTTTCTGTGTAATCAGAGTCTATATCTTCTGTAGTAATTTCTAATGGATCATTACCGGCTTCATTTTGGTAATCAAGACTACAAATATATCATTATTTCTAACATCGTATTAATAAACTACACTAAATACTTACTGATCAACCTTAATTATTATTGCTATTCCATTTTGCTGCCCTGGTAATTGATATTCAAATCTTATTTCGGTATTATAAAATTTTGCTTTGATTCGGTTCAAAACTGAAAACAAAAAAAAAAAAAAAATTATAATTTTTGATTTTTAATTGCATACAAAATTTTACCGCTATCTATTGTTTGTGCAAATTTTTCTAAACCTTCTATACTGGCCGTTTGTGCACTAAAAATGCTCTCGTCTGATTCTTTCCGTAAGCATTCCTGCGCTAATTGCATAGAACTACTCATTGATGACCACATAGATTCTAACATTAAAGATCCGTCGTTTGGTCTAAATACTGGACGTAATGATATTGACAAATCACAAACTTCTATAGAGCTGTCCTCCGTCATTGGAGCACTCCATGGTACTGTAATTGCAACTGATCCAACATGTCCTCCAGTTACTTCTACACCCCATCCTTGATTTTCACATACTTCATTAAGTGCCTTTCAAGTAAAATATTTTGATTGAAATGTAAATGTGTAAATATACAGATATAAAAATACACTATCATTTTAATCATGTACAGCAAATTTAAGTCATAACAAACAAACAGCATTAACAAAAAGTATTAAAAAAGTAGGTGTCATATTGTCAAGATATTTTTTCTGTGTATTATCAAAAAAATTAATGTAAATATATTTAAACGCGTAAACAAGCAAGCCGAAATCCCAAAACTTAAAATTGTTCTATATACTTGAAGATTTCTTTGTCTTTTCGTTACATATCTTACATACACACCTACTTAAAATATTCAAATGGTCTTTAGTAAAGACTCTACATTGTCTACACAAACTGAAAGTATGTAGGTACCTACATACACACATATGAATATAAATATAAAGTATAAACAAATAAACGTCTCAAATTTTTGTAACATGATTAAAATTTTAAAATTACGTCAGATTAACATATGCACATATTTAACATGTAATGGACCCGTGATTAATATTTATTTATATATTTTCCTCTCTATTTTCATTTGAAATATTTTTATTAATCGACGTTACAGACAAGGAAGCAATTTAATTTTTTTTTGTTTTATTTAACTTACCTCACAGTTCAATGCTACGTCTTTTACAGTACCTTTCCCTTGATAAAGATCAATATTTAGTTGATCTAAATTTAATTTCTCTTCAAGAAATTGTCCCAAATAGCGTTGAAGTAAATATCTACAAATTTTCTTTTCAAGGCCAGCAAATGGTGACAGCCAAGACATTTTGAACCCTTTGAATTATTTTAATTATTTAGAAAAATTCAAACTCATTTAGTTGACATTTATTATTTCTATTTTTGAGCTGTTCCTATTTTTGTATAAGTTATTGTAATGCTATAATAAAATTTTTGCGAATTTAGAAATTTACGCAGTAATTTTTCTTTTTTTTTTTTCTTTTGTATTTGTTATGAATTGTGATCAGAACAAAGAAATGACAGTGGTAAAAGAATATTTTTTCATTTTAATTTTTATAACTTTATATTTCAGGCAAATCCTTTTTTATACATTTATTTAAGAAAATTAATTCATAATTTCAATAACACTTTTAATAAAAATTATATTTTAATTTATTGAGAAAAATTTATTTATTTTATAGCTTATTTTTCAAGCCAAATTTATTTAGTTACGAATCAGGAAGTAAAAAATTGAAAAACAAAAGCTTCAGGGTTGAGCATAAAAATGCCATATGTTTTTTGACAGCTGATTTTGTTTTCATTATTTTTCTTCTCCTCATTCCAAATATTAGAAAAATCCCTTGATAAGTGTTACCGTTTCCTTAAAAACTATGTTTCCGAATTTTTAATGTTGCGAAATGTTATTTCTCTCACGTGCTGTATTACTGCATTTCAATGTATTGATGTGTTATACAAATCTTGAATGAAAGCCTCCGGATTGCAAAGCGTTTAAAAAACCTCTTTCAATAATCAATAAACTACTGAAATTACTGAAAAAAATTTCACATTCATTTCGTAATTACTAAAAAGAATATAAAATTCTAAAAGGCAAGCAGCTTAGTTCAACAGATAAGCTTTACGAAAATAAATTTATGTAATTATTATATGTGCCATACATTAGACAGAAAACATAATGTATAAGCTCATGTAATTACTTAACAAGTCCTCTCTGTGCTATCGAATGTTTTTTATCTTTTCTTTTTTTTTTTTTCTTAGTACTCTGTTTATTCTTTATTTTTTGCTAGAAAATAATTTTTTCTATTACATTTAATAAAATTATTGATTTATTTAATATGAGTGTACTACTCGTTTAATATTACGAATGCAAAATTAAATTGTGCAAGAGCAATTTCGAAAACATATCAATTTTTTTTTTCATTTACAAATTAAGGGAACAAATAAGTGGTAAACTGACTCTTTAGGTATACTCAATGGTAATTCAGTGTTCGGAATAAAATAACAATAATGGTGCGCATGTGTACTGCTGTTCTAAATGATCAGTTCTTCTCAACAGTGGAACATATGTTTTAGACATTTGTCATTTAGTGTAAATATTTTGAAATTTTTGATAAGGTTATAATAAGTAAGAGAATGGCATCAGCCTTAATAAATTCTTTTAAATTCTTAAGAATATCAAATGTGCCGAAATATACTCTGTGCAAAGCGTTAAATAATACTTTTTTGTGTGATAAAAGTGTTACTTCGACTTATTTGCCAGTTAGGAACACGAGTTTTTTTAACAAACGTAAAATGTTTTTTCTTTTTACAAACGCACACCATAAATTTTTTACATAACTAAAAAATCTAAAAATTCTTACTTTTTTTGTAGTTCCGGCAGAGGACTTGTGGAAAGGAGTTATTTCTGTTAGTAATGCTGGTAAGAAACGTGGAAGAGGTAAAGGTGTGGGTAGAAAAATTGCCAAAGATTTGAATAAAGGTCAGGTTATTGGCCAAGGAAAATCTAACATTTTATGGCCGGGACTAAACGCTCCAGTATTACGAGGCAATGAGCTTGTGAAACAACAAAAATTACCTGAGGATCCGGAGAGACAGCAAAAACTTATAAAATTGCGTGATTCTATGGGAAAATTTCGTGTAATGAGAATTAACCCAATTGATCGAGGTTGGACAGGCTCAAAAATGCCGGGTCGTAGTATTGGTCCACCTGATGCAGTTGGAGAAGACACTTTTGAGGGTTTTGATAGCAGAGTGCTTGAACTTAAAACTGTATTTATAATGAAAGGTAATCTTGGCCGGAAACGTAGATTTTCAATTCTTACAGTCACTGGAAATGGAGAAGGTTCAGCTGGTTTTGCTTTAGGTACATATGTTTTTATATTTTGCGAATATTAGTTTTAAAACTTCAACAATTTGTTTTCTATTAGTTTCGCTTTATAATTTATAAATAAATAATTTTAAAATTCTAGCTAAAGCAAGTGAAGTCAAAGCAGCGTTGAGGAAATCCAAAAACCGTGCAGGTCAAAAATTAATTTACATTGATCTATGTGATGGGCATACAGTTTTTCACGATTTCTATTGTGCCTTTGGCAAAACTAAAATATTTGTATCTAAAAAACCGGAAGGGTACGGATTAGTATGCCACCGAGCAATTGCAACCATTTGCCGTGTGATTGGCATTAAAGATCTACACGCTAAAATTGAAGGCTCAACAAATTTGCAACATATAGTTAAAGCATTCTTTATTGGATTACTACAACAAAAGTCACATCAGCAAATAGCAGAAGAAAAAGGTTTGCATTTAGTGGAATTTAGAAGTGAAAATCGTGGATTGCCAAGAGTTGTAGCCAGTCCCAGTGTTTGTCGAAAAAAGGAAGATATTCAAACTGGAGAAGTGATGGATTTTACTCAATATGTTTTGGGCGATAAAATCGTATTAAAAAAGAAAAAATATCCACCTTTTTTTTCTGAAAGTGCTGGCTATAAAATTCACCTTAGAAAAAAAGAATATCGACGAAATCAAGATAAAGTTCGATTAGAAATGTTAGTAAATTATGGTGAACTAAGAAGCTTTTTAACAGATAAGTATCCAGAATGTAGACCGTTTAAAAAGCAAGATGCAGTAAAAGAAGCAGAAAATTGAAAAAAAATTTTATAAATCAATAAACATATTTTTACATATATTTTTTTATTGCTTTGTTACTTTTCATAAAAGTATTCCAGATAGAAATTAAAATAAACAAGTAGGTAGCTAGTTCCTTAAAATACTTAATTAAGTTATCAATTTACTTAGAGTACGTCCTATTAATTATATAATATTAGTTGTTCAATTTGTGGACTTTTGAAAGAAATTTCATTTTATTGAAGTTCTCAACTAGTTAAATATTTCAATCTAATATTATCCTTAGCAATTAATGAGAATGAAATATGCACACACATGTATTTATGTTTCTGAATACGTACTTTTTGGGATTTCTAATCTAATACATTGCTAACAAATTAAACTTCAATGTTCTCAAGTTTGATCAATTCCTTTGATTTTTCTTGAGAGATAAAACTCAGAGACTAGTAATTGTTATTCTTTAGGAAAACGAACTGTACTTATTTTTGAATTTTCAATCAAATTTATCTTTTCCTGTTGTTGATCGTTTATGTTTGATAATCTTAGTTTTATTACATGGTTTTGCCATAAAAATATTGTCTATTTTTAAATAAATGAAATTTTATTTTAAAAATGCAACATATTGAATTATGATTTAAATTTTACAATTGTTTTTGTTATATTGGCACAATGCGAACATGATATTCTTTAGAATTCAGTAGATGTTAAATTAACTACAGATTTAAAATATGAGGAATGTTTTAAAATTTCAAACTTATGAAGAAAAAGTTGTGTAAACTTAAAAGTGTAAAAAATGACGGAAAATTGAGTGAATAACTAGGTTCAAAAAATTATTAAGAAAACCGTTTACGAGATATGGGGTAACTTAGAGTAAAGTGTAGAAAAATATTTTATGCTTCTGACAACTTGCCTGGGATAAATTACCTATTTGAGTTTCTCATTGATTGAGAAACATAATGATAATGTACATTATATTATGTATATCAATTAATTGCTTAACGATAAAGCTTATCTATATATATATTATACATACAAATACATTGCAGTTTTTCTGTCGGAAATAAAAATTTTATTTAATAATTTAATTATTTTTAGGCTATCTTATGGTATTGCATTATTATAATTTTTTTTACTCAATAGAATTTCAATATATGTACATAAGCAGTTGCCTAGTACTTACATAACTGTAGATATATATATATGTACATATTACCTTCTTATGAGTATATGTATATACATATAAACAGATTATATAAACATTATTATCAAAATAAAAAAACTGATTATAGAAGGCAGTTGATATTGTTTATAACCCATCATTATCTGATCAGAAAATTTAAAGGATCAAAATAATTTAAATTGTATGAGCATAAGAAAAAAAAAAACATAAAGAAGCAAAATGATAATATTAGGTTTCGGTAAAATTGAAGTTACAATAAATAAATCCTTTTTATAGTTAACCTAAGAAGAAATGATGATCTTAAGAAATAAAAAAATTAAGATAATTGCAATTTTGAAATCTTTTAGAGGCGTTTTCATTCTGATTTCTCAATAGGCATATTTTGATTTGCAATATTTTGCAATATATATAAGAAAATCATTCAATTGTAATTAATATACTTAAGGTAAGATCTTTTGAAAGAAAAAAGAAGTGTTTAACATTGTTCTATTTCTATTTACAAGATGCTACGAGTATTAATTTATAACAAAGAATATTTTTATAATTATCTTTAAAAAAATCTTTAAAGACATTTTTTTTTAAATTAAATTAAAATATTGTAATTTTTTAGAATTTTAAATTAAAAATTTATTTGGGTTGAGAATAAACCAACACTATCTATCCTCATTACATAAACTTTCTTTCTAGTTTTAATTGTTTACCTTAGCAAATATGTAGCTTCTCAGTTTCAAATATTTGAAAGTCTTTGAAATCTAAAAAGCATGTTGTGCTACTTACCTATTGTACATTTAATATTGTATACTATGCAATACTAACAATATCTGCTCCGTTTTCTTAAGTTCGTTTTCGTAGATACATACCTATACAATCGAATCTGATCCATAAAACTTCGAGAATATAATCAAATATAACTTAGTAAATATTACATTAGATTTTGAAAGATTTTCGCATATTAATAAAAATTTATATAATTAAAAATGTGAATTTCATGTTCTTTTGATAATTGGGAAAGAAAAAATTTCAGCCGCAAGCACATTAACTTTAGCTAGTTATGAGTTATAATTTCAGGATCTCTTATATTTTCCACAACATATTAAATTAATTGTTCTATATATCAAATCAGTAAACCGTCCTATTTAAAAAATTAAAAAATTCTATATTTACTATATATATTAAGTTTATATATGAGGTGTTTCGCATAACGTGGCAAATATATTCATGGTTAATTCTTTGATGTAAAAACTATGAGAGATGGTGAAAAATGTTATATTGGTTAACTTTGAGCTCTCGTTGTAGTGCATGAAAAAATAAAAATAACACATAATTTCAAAAAAACAAAAATTCTTACTTTGATCAGCTTTATCTTAAACACTATGACTCTAATCTAATTGATTGTAAGACCGAAAATAAAGAGCAATCAATAATTTGTAAAACAAGCCTTCGGTTAGAGTAATATGGCTACTATACTTTGCATGGTTTCGAAGTTAGTATGGTTCCGAATAAGCATTTATTTATATATGCAGGAAAAATCTGCTACTTTTTTTTAATAGGCTGTAGCTTAAAAAACATGTATATTCGTGCTCTACCCCCCCTTTATAATTTTTTGTATGAAATTTATCAAAGAATCATACCTGAAATTATTTGCCACCTTATGCGAAATACCCTCTATAGTTTTATCCATTCAACGAAAATGGAATAACAGAGTATTGTTTTGGAAATTGTGTGGTCGTCTATATTTTAACTTTATCTACTTTATGTTAATTTTTTTTTTAATTTTTTCTTGCCAATATTTCGACCAAATAGTGTGTGTGTATTTTTGTAACTCTATTTAAATAGCTAATTGGTTCGTTTTATTCATTGTTTGAAATTTTTTTTTAATTGAAAACTTATATATAATTTTATAGGTATTGTACTAATAGTAGTATGTAGTCTACTACAAACCTGTGTATAATTAAATAATAACCAAACCTTTCTAAAATACGATAATTACATTTATATAAAAACTTTATTCCATTGCTTTTAATATGTACATACTTTCCAACAAAATTAATAACGTAATTTATATCATGTACATTCTATACACATATATTTTATTCATATATTAAATTTGTACATAAAATTGCTCATATATATGCAATTTATTATTATTTTAAACTAAAATAAACAAAAGCAAAACCTAAACAAAACCTTTTTATAAATTTTTCAAATCGTACATTATCTACCGCACATTATTAACTTTGTTCATACATATGTAATACATAATACATATACATATTATATTATATACTTAAATACATATTATTTAATTATAACTGCACATAACTATATACATACATATATGCAAATTAATAATACATTTTGAATACATTCATTTAGATAATGTAAAGATAATATACTAGACATACATACATATATACAAACGTATGAATATTCAATTTGCTTTCAAGGATATTCACATAAATGAAGATCCAAAAAGTACATAGAGAGAGGAACAAAACACTTTGTTAGTTCTATAGATGATTATTTTATGGCCATAAGACTCTTCTAGGGATATTCAAAGTTTGTCGGACCGCGTTGGAGTACACTCAAACAACACCTTCATTTATTTTTTGTTTTTTTTTAATTTTTCCGGATTTTCATGTTTTTCCTTTTTTAATTTGTTTTTTTTTTTGCTTGCGTTTTTTTTCATATGATTGTTAGATTGCTTTACTTCTATGTGTAAGGGTAGTTTTTTTTTGTTTTTTTTTTTTTAATATGCTGTATGTAGTTTTATTTTTGCATTTTAGTTTGTGCATATATGTATGTATATGGTGCGCTTTTCAGGATGTTGATTATTACAATGATGTTGATGTTAATAGTGGATCAAGGAAAAAAAATATATGCTCTTTATTTTTTTTTTCTACCTTTATATTTATGGCATTATGTAGGATAGTGAAGGATAGTAATAAACAGAGTATATATCTACATTTATATATTTTGTTATACTTTTCTCAGAGTCGATTCTGTTCAATACGATGTCCATGTACAAGGTTGCAAAAAATTTTAATTTTATTTATAGATTTATTTACAATTATAATTGTTTTTATAGAACCATACTCTAATTTTAATTTTTCCAATCAAAATATAAAACATTTACTCTGTAGTTGAATTTCTCATTCTTGTCTCATTTAAGTTGAACTATGTAATGAATTCAAATGCAAAAATGATTTGATTTAACAATAGGATGACAAATTGTGTCACAATTTCTCATCCAACTTCATTTTCACTATTACTAAAAATGTCTGGTTATATTAGTAATCTGAGACGCCATACTGCTATATACTTAAATGTATAATGAAATTCGAATATGATAATATTTTACTAGCTGTAAATAAGCCAAAAATTTCCGAAGTTTTTAAGTATATAGCTTTTTATTGTGTTTTTTCTTTTGCAATGCTTCTATATTTTCTTCTACTGTGGTTGTGTGCTTGATTCATCTATTCAAAATTAGAGTAATTCATTAGTTTTTCATATCAAATATTATGAACATAAATGAGTTTTTCATAAATCTTATAAATCACTGAATCTAACTTTAAGATTATGAGAAAAGCTTTTAAATTAAAAGAAAAAATTTTTACTTACCATAAAGGATCCCAATTTTTTAAGAAAATATTCACTTTTTTATGAAATTACATCAAATGTGTTTTATTCTTTGCTCTAAATTAGAATCGGCACTGCCTGTTTCTATATTATTTAAGAACATACTTTTAATTTTAAAAGCTTTAGTTAGTGTACTTTATGACAGACAAAATTTATTTATTTATATGTATATATATTTATATATATAGTAATAAATAAAAACTATAACAGCATTGTAGCAGTAGCAGAAATAACAACAATAT